AAGATCCAACCGTCAAAGATGTTTGTATATACTTCAAGATCGCATACGTCAAAAATTACAAAAAACAAACATTCAGAGATCAAGTAACGGGACAAAACTTTTCGACGGTTATAAACGAAAAATCACGATTTAACGGTCATTGTAACTCCGATTTTGATGTTTTTTTACAACCACACTCCTTGACCCTATATGAATACAATGATTGAATTCGATCTTCAATTTAAAATATTTACACTAGTGGATACCACAAAATCTTATATTATACTTAATAAAAGTATGAATAAACTATTAAGTATTAGTGAATCTATTGTTTTGATGGGATACTCATTCTACGAAACTATTTTCAATTATCCAACCATCAAACATGTTTATATATACTTCGAGATTGCATACGACAAAAATTGCAAAAAACAAACATTCAGAGATCAAGTAACGGGACAAAACTTTTCGACGGTTATAAACGAAAAAGCACGATTTAACGGTCATTTTAACTCCGATTTTGATGATTTTTTACAACTACACTCCTTGACCCTAGATGAATACAATGATTGAATTCGATCTTCAATTTAAAATATTTTACACTAGTGGAAACCACAAAATCTTATGTTATACTTAATAAAAGTATGAATAAACTCTTAAGTATTAGTGAATCTATTGTTTTGATGGGATACTCATTCTACGAAACTAGTTTCAATGATCCAACCGTCAAACATGTTTGTATATATTTTGAGATCGCATACGCCAAAAATTGCAAAAAACAAACATTCAGAGAGCACGTAACGGGACAAAACTTTTCGACGGTTATAAACGAAAAATCACGATTTAACGGTTAATTTAACTCCGATTTTGATGATTTTTTACAACTACACTCCTTGACCTTATATGAATACAATGATTGAATTCGATCTTCAATTTAAAATATTTACACTAGTGGATACCACAAAATCTTATGTTTATACTTAATAAAAGTATGGTATAGTACTATTGTTTTATTTTTTTTCATAATTATTTTGGTAAACTTCTCATAATTTGAATGATTTTTAATGTTTGGTTTTTCTATGCTTAGTTTATGCAGAAGATAGTTATGACGTGGAAAACCTTATTGAAAACATCATCAACATAACTCTTGAAGGCAATAGATCAAGCCAAAGTTCCAATGCAATTTCATGATGATCGATGTAAATCGAGGATTTTGTAAATTGAGGTTTAAACTTTTGAGAAAGATTTCACAACCTTGAAAACAAAAACTGTTTCATTTTGCATATCCTTACACATTTAAAATTTGTAATAGATTAGTAGTGTATGTATTATTTTTTTATTAGGCTCTTATTTTCGAGTGTAGATGTAGTACTTAAACGACAAATGTGTTTAAATGTTTTGAAGTAATATTTATGTGGCAATGTGTGGTATGTGCAAATTTAAGAAAAAAAATTATATTTTTCTTAACGAGTCATAACGGGTCATAACGGGTCATAACGGGTCGGGTCACTTTACCCGTTGGGTAAAGTGACACGACCTGTTAAGGATCCGTTAAGATAACGGGTGTGACACGACACGACCCGTTAAGATAACAAGTGTTACACGAAAACGACACGAACACGACTAACACGACCCGTTTACCAAGCCTACCCCTAGATATTTACCCCATTTCGTACTACATCAATATTAAGTCATATGGACTTTCTTTTGAGAATGATATAAGAACTAACTAATATAGCATATGTATTGCATCAGCTTATGTGCATCTTCAGCAATAATTGAGTGCTCTGATGAAGCTAGAACATACGAACTTATAGATCTTAATAATTTATTCGTGTGGTGAAGGCAAAGAAGAAAAGAAAGTTCTAGCTTCATCAAGTACTTCAAACTTTCTTGACTGCAACTTCAAAATGATTACAATATTGTTGTCCATTGCCATTGCAAATCTACAAAATTGAACATGACACAGGACTTTTGAATAGTAGTATTCATCTTCCCTTAAAATTATAATGAATGTATAATAAGTAGTCAAAGCCGTTTAAATGGTAAGTACAATCGTTCACGTCTATAAGTTACAACGTTAAATATTGATGCGATGTATAAAGTACATAATTATAATATTAAAAGTTAAAAGTCATTCACGCAAACATAAGCGACACACACTCAAGGTCCAATATATAGCTAGCTCTAAGTTTAACTGGGAGCCTAGAAGGGTGTGGGATGGTCAGCATGGGAAAAACCATGCATGCCTCGAAGAGCAAGAAGCAGTCGCCTTAATTAATTCAATTGTATACTTTTTCAGAAAAATGGGTTTTCTTCTTCCAACCGCGTAATTTGATCAGATGGTTCTCAGAAGTTCTTTTTTGGTCAAGTAGATATTTTATATTTACAAAAGCTTATAACCACGTTGTCAAATAAGACTGCTATGCGTGCATTTCTAGCGTATAAAAGTCAATAAATGACGTAATAAAATTGCAAAAGTAGAATGTTCCTCCTTCTTGTTATACTACTACAATATATGGTGTAGTGGTTGATGACTCGACGGCCGACGTGTTGAGTTTGTGACAAAGGGAGGAGGAGGAGAGCAGAGAGTGCAGAGACGATTCGAGGTTGAGTCCAAGGATGATGACATAGCAGAGGAGGAGATGATAGAGTGTAGAGAGATCCAAGAGGTTAGAGAGAGTCTGAGTGTGAGAGAGATAGGCGCAGAGATTCATTTGAGATATAAGAGAGAGAGTTGGCTCAATGGTTAGATCCGAGAGGTTAGAGTTTGAGTGTGAGAGAGAGAGGCGCATAGATTCATTTGAGAGATAAGAGAGAGAGTTGGCTCAATGGTTAAGTATAAGTAACTAATGGTTATTAAGCATATAAATACATTTTCTGTATTATAATTTCAACAATCGAGAGTTGGCTCAATGGTGAAGTTCCATGAATCCCAAGAGGAGATAAGGGGTTCGAATCCTTGCTAGACTGAATACCAAACCGAACTGGACGGTTCGGTATAATAACCGAACCGAAAATTTTCAAAAATCGAAAATTTCGGGAAATTTCAGGATAATTTCAGTTCAGGTTCGGTTGGGATCGGGATTTTCAAGATATTTTTCCATCCCTAGTTCAATTACTTATGAGATATTTTGAAATACTTTCGACATTCAATTAGGTTCAAATGAACTTCACACAAGCTCAATTTATAAGCTAGCTAGTATTTATTTGCATGCGTGAGACTCTTTACTACACGCAGCACATATAGAGGATTCAAGTTTTAACAGACACCAAATTTCAAGTTTTGAACTGAGTTCGAGAGGTAGCTTCGTTTGAACCCATCAGAGCCACACCGCTTATCATTTGCTTGGCCAAAGTTGAACATTTTGAATGACTCGTTGGACTCTTACGTACAAATTGCATCACTCTTTTCTTTGAGCTAAATCTAATATAATTTTTTTTGTCTTGTAGTTTACACCCTTTTTCTTTCCTTGTTGCTTTTCTCATTTTTATCTAGCTATTGAAGTGAATAAATAAATAAAAATAAATAAGAGGTAGATACAAATAAATGAGAAAAATAAAATGAAAACACGAGTGTTGAAGGAGAAAACAGGTATATAAATATAATTTCATTAAAAGTTTTTTTATAAAATTGATATTAAAAAATAGGATGACTCTAAGCCAATAAGAACATCCACTTTGCGAAGATTGAGAGGAACGTCTATTGTATTCAATCTCACTCTTGCTTTGCAAAGATATTGTTTTCATAACTCGAAACTTTTCGGTCGCAAAAGAACAACTTTTTCATCGCACCAAAACTTACTCTCTCGTACAAGTGATATTAGAAAAATGTAAATCCTAACCTAAAATCTCGGATGCTAAGATGAATACTTTTTAACCAATTAAATTATAAACATCTCAGCAGTTTCTTACAGTTTTATTTGTTTGAACATTAATTTATCCGGTATATCCAATAGCAGAAATCACCCTTCCCACTTGTATAAAACAAATCTAATATATTTTGTATGAACATTCCTCAATCTGCCAAGTTTTTTGTTTCTATTCAATTGAATCTAAAATAATATTAAGTTAAAACGTACCTATCTGTTGTTTGGTTTCGTTTTGGTTGAAGACCTACTCACTCCACTCAAAACCAACATTGTAATAGTATTTCCATTTTGAGGTGGCAGGCAGGAATTCTTGGCAACATACCATATTTGGGAAAACCTACTAACCAAAGCAACCCTGATCAAACCTAAACTTTCAATAACATTTAAAAAACAAATTTAAAAAGAATAGATCCATGTCATCATTTTTTTAGGAAGTTTTAATAAAACACTCCCGGTACTGTTCACTTTTAACGAAAAACTACATTTTTATCTTTAACTTGCACCATTCACTATACCTTTAAAAATGACTTTTCGTTAAAAGATAAGTTTTTTTAGACTTTTCGTTAGTTTTTATTTTTTTATACAACTTTGACACACGTTTATATGAGGCTTTTTAGAATAATTTATAAATTATCTTTACAAAAAATTAGTCAAATCCAGCGATTATAAGGTTTCATATTTGGGTGATTTTGGCAAACATGATATTTGAGAGAAGATATAAAAGACATACGATTTGAGCCTTTAAAATACATTTATATAGTGAGTTTTATAAAAAAAAAAAAGTGTGTAAAAAATTATGTAGAAAAAATAGTGTCACAAATTCGTGATCTAAAAAAAATATTGCGAGAATAAGAAGATATTATCGTTGCCTTAGCCTACACTGGAATTATTAAAACAAAATCTCAGCGATGACCAATCAATTTGGCACCAAATCTCACAAAAAACCAACCCCACATCCTTGACTCTCTCCTTCCTTCGTCTATCCTGGTTGAAAAACGGGTGATGGAAAATTAAAAATAAACTTGCAGTGACGAGTTTTGTGGGACGATTTTACAACCTGAACAGCTTGATCAATTGTCAAAGGAGAAGCTTCTTAAAGTTAATATCCTCTCTCTCTCTCTCTCTCTCTCTCTCTCTCTCTCTCTCTCTCATGTATTTTCTGAAACCAAAATTACCACTCTTTTTCTACCAGGGCTATATTTTCTTTGATCCACGAGCAAATATAGCTGTGATGGAAGAAAAACAGAGCTTAATGACCTAGAGAGAGAAAGCTATAGAGAGAGAAACAGAGAGAGATTTATGTCAAACGAGAAAAAAAATAAGAGAGCTTTAAATGCGAGTTGGTTGATGTGGTTTTCATTTTCCCTTCTTCTCTTACGGACTAAGCAATACACCTTTCCATCCATCTTCCCTTTGTATATAAATATATATATATACACATATTTATATAGAGGGAGATATTCAAAGCTTTGAAAAGGGTTTTAAATTCGTTCATATTTTTGCTTTAAACTCAACAGACATTCAGCTACAAATCCAAAAGCCTTGTTCTTCTGCTATAAACGCAAACAGCAATGGATTTTATTGCGCACCCATCTCATTTGTCTCCTTCCTATTCGTTTTCGTTGGGGAATTTCGTCGAACGGGTCAAGGATTTCTGCAACTTCGCCGTCTCTGTGGTTCTCGGGAACGTTTTCTCTGCGATCTTCACCTTCTTCTTTGCATTAGGTTCGTTTTATTTTATTTTTTCTGAATTGGGTTCTGCTTGTTCGTCGAAAGTTTCTGTCTTTCTTTTGTTAATGCATTAAAGGGTGTTGATTTTTTGATCTGTTTCTGTGTTTTTTGATGTCGGTATATGGCATATTTTGCAATGATTGGATTTTGGCTCTTGGGATTGTTAATTTCTGCAGGAAAGATCAATTGGGTCTCTATTTCTGTGACAGAGGAAATTAATGATTGCATGCATTTGGATTCCTGAATTTTGTTGGAGAATTGAATTGAATTTCGTATGCCATTGTTTTGTTAAATTCTAGCTCCAATCAAAGTTCAAAACTTTACTTGTTGACAAAAGGGTTCTTTTGGGAAAGCTTGTTCATCTTTTCTTTTTTTTTTTTTTTTTTTGGTCTCTGGATCCTTGGAACATAGCGTGTTTTGAAATTAAGAACTGTATGTTAGGTTGTCCCTTCTGGGACATCCGATAAAATTGGAACAATACAGAGAAGGAAGGCTGTACGTTATGTTATATTTTGACTAATGGAAATGGCAATTTTTGTGTGCAGTGGGCAGCACGTTAGGAGCAATGACTGGAGCTTTGATAGGGCAAGAAACTGAGAGTGGATTTGTGAGAGGAGCTGCAGTTGGAGCAATATCAGGAGCTGTTTTTTCAATTGAAGTGTTTGAATCTTCCCTTGTTCTTTGGCAATCAGATGAATCAGGAATTGGGTGTCTTCTGTATTTGGTGAGCAATTAAGATTTTGGGGACCCCAATATATATGGTTAGGTGGTCGCCGCCCAAATGCCCCAAATGTTTGGTTCTTTAGAATTCCTGAGTTGGTGTATTTGATCTCCAAAGGTTTAATTAAGTAGCAAATGCCAGTATGACTAATTCGTGTTTTCGTGTAATCTATGCAGATTGATGTCATTGCTAGTCTCCTAAGCGGTAGATTAGTCCGCGAGCGGATTGGCCCAGCCATGTTAAGTGCAGTGCAAAGTCAGGTAATTTCAATGCTTAGATGCCAGTTTTTATGTTAGGCAACATAAACTCCAAGAGGTTCATTCATGTGCTTGCTAATTACTAATTTACTATTCGTTTCGTCGTTCTTTATCCAGATGGGTGCTGTGGAATCAACCTTTGATGAGATCCCCAACATCTTCGACACCGGCAGCTCCAAAGGGTTGCCCGGAGACTCAGTTGAAAAGATCCCGAAGATCAAAATTACCTGCCACAACAATGTGGATGCTTCGGGGGAGAAAGTCTCCTGTTCAGTTTGTCTTCAGGTAAAAAATCTTAAAGAAACCATCTTTTTTCGCTCATAAGCGATAGAATTAGTCTCAATTTCGAACTTAGTGATTGACATCGTGAATTTTGTTTACATGATCAGGATTTTCAGATTGGAGAGACAGTAAGAAGCTTGCCACACTGCCATCACATGTTTCACCTGCCTTGTATAGATAAGTGGCTCCTAAGCCATGGCTCATGCCCTCTCTGCAGAAGGGATCTGTGAATCTGATGATCTTCTTGTAAATTACCATATGAGTAAATGTTCTTTTATTGACTATACAAATTTTGTACCCTTTTCATCTGTATTATTATTCACCAGGCTGCTCCAGTAGTTTCATGCTACACTGTGAGTTATGTATAAATTTTTTTTATTTTGGTAGTTTTAAGTTTTTATTGCACAATATCCCCTACTTTTTACAGTTTTACAGCACCCTTTTGGGAATCTGGGATCCTCTCAGGACCTTAGCGTCCAGAGCTTAAGAATCAGAAAATCTGGATCTTTGGTTTGTGTGAAAGAGAAATCGGAGCTCTTAGTTTGTATGAGGTGAGCCAGCAGAATAAGTTAATGAGACCGTTGGATTCAATTTGAGTGGTCTAAATTGACTGGTCCTTGAACTCTAGATAGGTGAGTTCTGGAGTGAATCACTGTACCTCTTTTGGTACTGCAAGGACATTGTTGTACTGCTATTTTATTCTTACAAGACATTTATGAAATTTCTATGGTGATTTGGAGTATGAGATAATCGAGATTTCTTAAATGCAAGATCTTGGAAAATGCTAGCAGAACCATAGAATTTTGACACATTTATAACGGTCTATCTGAGTTCGAGCTGAAATATGAATTTTCAATTCGAATGCCAGATTTTGTCTGCAAAGTAAAGATGTCAATAACTATTTTAGCATGGTCTCAACTGTAGTGCATGCCACCATGCCTCCCTTACAAGGATAAGTATTTTCAGGTCCACCGATATCAGACGATGGGGGGTTTGAATGCAGGACCTTCGGTAATAAACACTCTTATTTATTTAAGTTGAATTATGTGCGTTACGAAGATAAGTTAAAACGATCTTTAATCTTATCCCTAACCCCACTTTAACCCACGGCAATTGGGCTTAGCTTTCCATTAACATAATTCTTACTCCAATAACTTCTCTTCTGGTGCAAGTGATTTGAGAATTAGTTGGCTCCAACAGTTGTGAGATATTTTGGTATGAATTTTGCTGATAAAGTTATCTCATCAGGTCGGTTGGAACTTCATACCACACTAGAAAACACTTTTCTTTTGGATATGGTGTGTTTTGTTTCCCACGCATATATTGTTTTTTGTTTTCTTACCAACCCCACTCTTTCTAAGTACAAAATAAAAAAGCCACTTGTGTGGATACCTTATCATTATAGCAAAAGTGATTTCCGCACATATTTTTTCATATTCTGTATAATTATGTTTATTTGTAATATTTGAATTTAATAATTTACGAAAAAAGTAAAGACGGACAAAAGAAAACTCATGTAAGCAGAAGAATCAAACTTTGACAAATCATTTGTCATCGTTTTATTATAAGACATGACGCAACATGAACACGAATTAAAATTTCTTAGTGCATGTCGTTTACTGTGTTTGGGGCCGGATCATACACCCTGCCGCCCAATTAAGCGGCAAGCGATTTTGATCTTACTTCCTCATTACTACCTACGAGAATATATGATGTTTCATTTATGAAATTCATATTTGATGACTTTTTACCCCTGCAATGCAACAAGCAATGACAAACTTTCTAACTAGAAAAGTAGGTGAAATCTTTTCCTGTTTTTATAGTATATCAGATTTTAATCCTATTCTTGGAAGACTGGAATAAACTCTGACTCAAGTCAGTTGTGAAGAATAATCTATCGTACCTGTAATTATAAACCAGATCTGCTCCTGAGCATTATAAACTAAACCTCATGAGCAAGGGATCCGGACCGTTTGATTGATCCAACGGCTACAATTATTACAATTTTTAGAGGGGCCTCTGTTTGTAGTTATTGGATCAAATTTCAAAGGTCCGGATCCCTTGCTTAAGAGGCTCAGTTTACAATGCTCAGGAGGGGATCCGATTCCATCATCTACCACTAATAAGATGGGGAAAATAAGAAAAACAGATTCCCAAATTGTTTAAATAAAGAACAATAATATTAATAATTCAGGCAATGCTCAGCGTAAATGCTTGTTTTATTGATTGATTTATTTATTTGAGAGTAATACGAACATTAAGTAAGATCTTTCATACTAGTTTGAGTGAGTGATACTTATATATAAAAATCAGACAACCTGAATTTGATTCTTTAGAATGATTTAGTAGATAGGAATTAAGTTTTATTTGTAGAATTACAAAATCTTATCAATATAGCATTAAAGCTACCTCGTCACCTACACTGAGTAAGTCAGAAGTAGATATACATTGCAATTTCTTATTTATGTGAGTCAAACTTGAGATTTTTTACAACTACTTTGAAATACTATTAACATGTTTGCCTAACATAAATGAAAGAAGTAGTGAATTGGGGAACTTAAAAATATGAGAAGTAAAGAAACGAAATCGTATCAACTAGTCCACTCTAGTTGATTTGATTATAATTTTTAGGTATTAGATTACAAATTTTAAAAGAAAACGGATGTTTTTTTCAATTATATGTGTGTTAACACATAAAAGGTTAAGAATTAAAATGATTCATAATAAATACATGAAACTGAAGAACCAAATAATTCTAATTTTGTTTCCATGTAAAAGAATGTCATAAAAGTTTATCAAACTAGTCAGTAGAAGATCAAATTTTAAACTAAATTTGCAGACCAAAATTTAAACTATCGATTAGAAATAAGAACGTTAATTAATATTTAAGTAATAATTTAATAATCAACAACCACATTATTTAATTTACAAAATTTAATTCAAAATTTTAATCTTTTTAATATTACCTTCTGATAACGTCTTAATATTCTTGATATACAGCTTTTACCGTTAAGGTAATTGTTGTTTATATTTTATTGTGGATACATGCTTTTGGCTTTTTCAAGTAAACTTTTCTTTTGTTTTACCTTCTGAAATGAATGCGACTAGCTAGCTAGCTACCTCACCTGCATGTGCTTTGGTTCAATGGGGAGAGAGAGAGAGAGAGAGAGAGAGAGAGAGAGAGAGAGATCTGCCATCTCAAGTGAGCAATCACACTCACACATGTATGATGCAAGCAGATCACCTTCAACATATCTCAAATCATGTGATCTTCTCACATGCTGCTCTTTTTACAGCTTTTTGCAAAATCATGATCACCTGCAAAAAGCCATGGCCTCAAAGTAATTCACGTGACTTTGAGGCATATAATTCCAAATGGTCGATCCTAGGACTTGATGCATGCATGCAGGGAAGGGGAATTAATCCACTTTCATTTGACGAACTGCTCGAACTATTAATTTAACGAATCACGAAGAAAACATCGCCACTCACTCACTCTCGTCAACTAGGTTTTCTTCAAAGAGACCTCGAAAGCATGCAATTATAACTTTGCTTGGAGCAGCATCAAGTGGGGTGCCTGATATATATGAAGGCACAAGAAAGTTTAAGGCTTTGTTTGGTGTCTAAGATTTGATTCGAGTATGTAAGGTATATTGAATATACAAATTTGTGTCAAACTCAAACTCATTAAAGAAAGTTATTCATTTCAACTTCACAAAAAGTAGTAGGATTAAAGGCATAATAAGTTTCCTTCATATCATATATCTTTCTAATATTTTCAGAATAAAAAACTGTTCTCATATATCTTCAGTATACCTTGAATTTTATTTGTTACCCAATCCATTTCACATTCCAAATCCTAGACGTCATATGAACCCTCTCCAGTAACCAAGAGACGAAGAGAGAGCACTGAGTTCGCCAAAGTGACAAAAGAGGAAGAGGTGAGCGTTGTGTCTAAAGTTAAAAAGAAGAGATGATTGATTCTTGGCTGCATGAACGCCCATGATATATTAGTCCGGAAAAGTTCTGAAAAGGGTCTGAACCCCAATGAAAAAGCTTTGAGACTCTTGATTTATAGTCACATGATCGATCAAACCTCCAATATTTTCATAGAATACGGTGTAAGTAAATGGTCTCTCTAGTATTACAGACATTTGTTAATTTTCTCTAGCAATTAGAAACATAGTTTATGGGGATAAGCTTAAATGTACCAATAATTGGATTGTTTTAATGGAACCTGTCCTTGGTTGTGAGGCTAAAGTTGCTGTAAGTTTTGGAAAGTGATATTCACACATTTATTTTACCTCTCACATATCCTTGTTAATTTTTTGCATTAATTTTCTTCAGTTCATTCGATTCGACTATAACAATTTGAGAAAATATGTGAGAAAGTAAAAAATTAACTGTGCGGATAGCACCGCCCTAAATTGTCTGGGAAGTTCAAGTTTTGGAACCAGACAAAAATGTCAAACTCCCTTATTTGTTACAATCAATCTCTACAACACTACAATACAAGTGTACTAATTATAAATTCCATTCTCAAAAGAATCTTAATGCAAACCAAACACCAGGGAAAGGACATTGGTGTTCAAAGCATCCAAAGCTAAGGTCATGTTTTCCATTTTTTTTATTTTCTAAATTGATAATCAGGTCAATATACAAAACAAAAAGCACGTGGCGACATCGTATCGTTTCACATCTAGGATTTGGAATAATAATTAATTTCTGACATTTAGCTGTCCATCACTCGTATACATAAATTCAAAAAAAAAAAAAAAAACAAATTAAATAGCATTATGTCAATTTCTCTTGGAATTAATTATATAGATGAATCAGTCGTTTTGTATGCATACTCTACCAATAAAAACAGGTTATGCTATGTATAATAAATTTGTAAATTATATAATCGGTTATCAAATAAGTACATTAATTATTACTTAAATGATAATCCAATCATCAATTACTATGTTATTTTATTTACAAAATTTAGTCTCCCTAGCATTACCAATAAAAACAGTCCATTTTCATTTTATTTCTACCCTGACCATCATAACTATAATGTATGTTTACCATACACCTAATCATTTATCATGTGCATTTCACCTAACTCTAGTTAACTTTTACACTAAATGTTACATTTTCAATTTTGAAAAGACAGACATGTGTCAGTTATTAAGTGTATAGTGAGCATACACCAAAGTTTAGGATGGTGAGAAAAAATGCTCCCCAAGATTATATTAGTTTATATCCAAAGACTTAAAATATTTGACAACTTAATAAAGAAAAATAAGAAAATAAATTTTCTAATGGTTCGTGAATTTTAAATTGGTTTTGCTTTATTAAGTTATCAAACATATTAAGTTTTGAATTAAAATTAATATAATTTTTTGACTAATATGTATTTAGTCTTCACACATTCTCAAAATGAGCGCCTTATAGGGAAGCAGGATTGACTGTTTCAATGCACCATATAACAATATTATTTTTGTTGGTTTTTTTCTTCTTCTATGTTTTTATTGATTTATTTATATCTAGTATCTGATAGAATGACTTGAGAGATTACAAAGCTTGGAAAAACTTGACCAAAAAAATAAGAAGACTCAATCTACCCTCATCTTGATCCGTATCTATATCTCTTTACCCATGCAAAATTCTGAGTAGAAAATTATAACTTTAGTATGAAAAAAGATTGTTTGATCTATAGTTTCTGCTCAAGTGGCCCCGCGGCGGATGCCCCCACTCAATTGTTTTTTGGTGGATAAAAAAAGTTATATTAGTAAGATGTATCACTAGTTTACTTGCTTGTGATATTAATTAGCATTAACTTTTTTAGTTGGCCAATGTTGAAGGAGCATTTTCAACCATGAAATTTCTGAAGAATCGATTGAAAAATCGAAATAACATGGTTATTCTTATAGAGAAAGAGATATTTGATGGTATTCGTAATGAAGTTGTCATGCAACGATTTCAAAATATAAAAACATGTCAAGGGATAGTGCGATGCGTTGTGCAAAAAATCTTATGGATTAAGATATAGGTATTTTGTTTAGTAAATTCTTTAGCATTTTAATTTGTAAATTTGTTGTTTGAGGATACCCTCATTGATACAGATCTTTGACTTTGTCCTTGTATGTAGTACATTACATTGTCAAGAGACATGAAAAACAAATGGTTATGATATAATTAGGTATACTCTAACAATACCTATGGCCAAGTCTACCAACACATGTCCATTTTTGAGTTTAAGAAGCATGAGAATTCTATGCCTCTTATAGCAAGAAATCATCTGTAATGCAACAACATCAATCCACATATACGTACGTATACATGTACAAGTTGTTTTTGGCTTATATGCCGTCCTAGCATTAGACCTAGTCATGGTGACTCAATCGAATAATGTCTCTTTGAAACTATAGACTTACTATATACACATATGTGTATAACATATTTATATATTTTTGAAAATAATAGCCGGCAGATGATTATTGATCAGTCTGGGATCAGCTTATATACATTAGCACTTCCCAATATTCCTTCCCCTCCTCTACCTATTGTTCTCTTCAATTTGAAGCAAATTAATGGTCACCTTAATTTCATGGAAACGTAGCTGAATCGAATTGTGCGCACCCCTTAAAGAATACAAAAATGGAAATGCGACGCCAGTTGGCGGTGGCTTCACCACCATCTCGAAGTTTTGTTCATGCTCATCACATACACATGTTGGGAGGCTTTGTTGTTGGCATTCTGTCAGTTTTGATAGTGGCCTTGTTATACTACTTGATCAAGAAGAAGCTCCTACCAACTCTCAGGCAAAGACAATTACTACATGAGCATGGACAGAAAGGTGAGCAAAACCTAATTTTGTTGTGGGGCCCACACCAAGTTAACCCAATTCATTGACACTCTTAACAACGATAATTTGAAAACCATTTTGCTTTTAGCTTTTATTATTTAGTGTTATTTTGTGTGTGTTGTAGATACAGGAAAAGTATGCGGGAGAATGAATTGTGAGCAAAACACAAAATGAAAACGTATAACCTGCTTGCACTTTCAAATTTTTGTTTTCATGGAATCTCCTTCATTTCTTTCTTCTCCCTCCATCCTACATCCTTCTCCGCTATTCATTTCTCTTTTATACTTTTTCTCTATTTCTAGCACAAAAAATGAAAACTAAATCAAACGGGACTAATAATATGAAAATGTTGTCTTAATTACCACATATTCGACGTTTATGTAATCAGTATCAATTAAACATCATCCATTCAAAATAAGAAATTACTGAACTAAACAGCCAAATGAAATTGTGTGTTTTGTTAATCCGTTTGACAAGAGAACATTAGTTACGAAGTTGAAAATCTGGAGAGACCACTTGAAGATTTTGGGGTGTGACTACTATGTTTTTCTCTACTAGGAAATTTGAAAGAAGAGAAAATAACGTTGAGGCGCTTCCAGTTGGATGAACTAGTGAAGGCTACTAATAATTTCAGCGGTGAGTGCTTGTTGGGTTCCGGTGGTTTTGCAAATGTCTACAAGGGGACCTTTGATGATGCAGGAACCGTAGCCGTTAAGCGAGCCCACGCCGATTCATTTCAGAGTGTCGAAGAATTCAGAAACGGTAAGCCTCAACCAATAAAAACATGTAAACGGTACTCAAATACACAAAAGTAACACACTTGCTAACACTTTATAATATATGTGAGTTTCACATCAATAATAGGGCCCAATCAAATATATATAGTAGTCTTGTGTGTCTAAATAGATTTATCGATGTAGAAGTTTGTTGTGTAGAAAGATTCAGAATTTAGTTGATATAATCTGATTTCTGTGTAGTGTTTATTCTTTGAACAGAAGTGAGGCTACTTTCTAAGGTCAAGCACAGAAACCTTGTAGGTTTGGTTGGATATTGTGAAGGATCATCTGGTATGTAATCCACCTGTAAATGCATATTTAATTTTCTAAATTAGCCCTCTCCTTGTATTGACAAGGGAAATGATTTTTAGACCCTCTTTTTCTCCTTAATTTTGATTTCTTAAAATCAATGCTAAAAATGATTAGGAGTGCATACGTAGGATATAAAAAGGTGTGTGGAAATCAATTCCTTTGATAAAGGCATGTAAACTAGCTAATATGTTGGATTGTGATTGGAATAGGAGCAAAAGGAGGAAAAGTATTGATCTATGAATATGTACCAAATGGTTCTCTCCTTGATTACTTTATGGGTATGTATGTTCCTTACCAGGAATTAAACCTACTTGTTAAGTGTTGATTATAATCTTCCTAATTCTATGTTTGTTTAGCTTAAATCCTGTTAAATTACCATGTAGGAAGAAAATGGAGGAGCTTAACTTGGAGGCAAAGAGTCAACATAGCCATTGGAGCAGCAAAAGGTCAGTCATCAGAGATTCATAACTATATAAATAGTCTAACTAGATAAGTAGAACTCTAATTGATTGTGTGAAATTTTGCAGGCATTGCTCATTTGCATGAAGGAGTAAACCCGAGCATAATCCACCGTGATATAAAGCCGAGTAACATCTTGATAGGAGATGGATTTGAAGCCAAGGTTTCAGATTTTGGACTTGTTAGGTCAGGGCCTACTGGGGATCAATCACATGTCAGCAGCCAAATCAAAGGAACTCCAGGATACCTAGACCCTGCCTATTGTTCAAGTTTCCATTTGACACCGTTTAGCGATGTCTATAGCTTTGGTGTGATACTTCTGCAGCTTATTTCTTCCCGGCCTGCGGTTGATTCAACAGGCCACCGCCCTAAGCAGCATATAATTGACTGGGTAAATATTTCAAACATTGCTCTTTTTTCTTGTTTTCTTTCTTCTAATACAAGCGATATGTATTATACTTTAAATTATTAAACAATAGAGAGGGCAATTCAAACTTGCTTGAATGTAAGATACATTAAGTCCTTCTTAACCTAGTAGGGTAAACCAACAAGCTTTTTCCTCTCATTGCTAATAGTCATTGCAAAAGGATTTGCCTTTGATTTTTGAGTTCTAGTGAGCTGTTTTTCTTGAATGCAGGCAAGACCAAGCTTAGAGCAAGGCCGCGTTGAGCAGATTTTAGATGCAAATCTTTTAACAGAGCCATGTAACACTGAGATGATGCTAAAGATGGGGAAACTTGGCCTAAGATGTGTTGTGAAAGTGCCCAAAAACCGCCCTACCATGTCGCAAGTGTTGAAAGAACTCGAAGAGGCCCTCGACTCTGCAGACAACTTCATTAGCAAACAGCCTTCTGGGGGATCTCGAAGATCAACTGGCACGTTCCACCTACCATCAGAGCTAGGGCATAGAAGATCGATGGACTACGACCAGTCTCAAAACTCAGTGAGCATAGATGGCATTGGACTCCAGAGGTTTCATGTCGACGTAGATAGCCTCTCCTTTCAGAGCACGAGCTTAAGGTGTTTGGAGTTGAACGATAGCAGCATCGATATTGACATCGAAAATTGGGAAGATATACATGAGGAGTCTATTAGAGAAAAAGAACTGAACATGTAATACATCTTTCTTCTGTGTGTGCATGATGTGTGAATTTTCTGAATTGTAATATATTATCATTGCTTTAAGCACAAAAAGTTTTTTATAAGATATGTGGAATATTTTAAATATTCACAACACTATAACGAGCGACATACAAGAGAGCTTATTAATATAAAACAACAGCAACTCTGGAGACAAGCGTGCACAACAAGCAAAACCGACCGTTTTCGAAAAAGGTTGGTATCGTTGGTTAATTGGATTATTGACTTAAACCAAAGTGTCCTATTGATTAATCGGATAGTTTATATTTAGAATCAAGTTTCTCCTTCACTCCATGAAAAGTTACATACGATTTTGCAACAAATTAAGGATCAAAGAAAAATTAAATATTGTTCCTAAAATAATAAAACAAAAAGCAACTAATTAAGTTCCAAACGTTCTCAGAGCCTGTAACATGAATCAATTCTTAAAGTTGCCTGTCATGCTCAAAATCCTATATACGCATCCTTTCCAAATACGCCATCGGCATTAACCCGACTGTAGCAAGGTCATTTTATGATGAGTTGATGCTTTCGTTGTCAGCTTCGTTTGCATCTCCACTGCATGCTATAAGGTTATCATACATTGTCATTGCATTGTTTGAATACTCAGCCAAGGATTCGAAAACTGTAGAAAACCCCGTCTGAAATCTACTCACAGCAATACAAGTTTTCGCCTTCTTAGTATCTAGCTTCTTCCTCAACTGCTCCGTCATCTCAGTCTCAGGCCTGTCGCGCTTATTCAGGTCATTCAACTCTTCATCAATCTCTTTCTTCAGTCGATGCTCCTTTTTTTGTCGATCCACCAGTGCTCGGACATCCTTCCCAAAGTCTTTCATGGCACAAGTGACTGCTTCATCTGGAAGGCTATGCAGGCAATCTAACCAAGTCTTAAATAGCGAAGACTTGTCGGGAGAGCCAGATCCATTTTCAGCGCCAGCAAACTTGAATATCCCACCATGAAGAGCTTTAACGTACGCCTTCTGCGAAGAGACATACGAAGCAAAGCAAGAGCACCACTTTTGAAGTTCATCTTCAAGCTTAGAGGTGGCAAGTTGGTGTAAGTCATTGCATGACATTCCAACAGATGGAGAGTTGAGACATTTCACATGAGACATGATTCTCTTTTGCATCTCATGAGCTTCCGACATCATCTGCCAATTTCTCATTAGGCTGCAAAAATGGGGAAGGAGAGGGTTAGAACACAATTCAGAAATATTCAGGAGTCTAATACACATTCAAAGTAAGATTGTGGCATTTATATTACCCTTGAAACAACTTAACAACTTGTGCCTGCAACTCATCTCTCAGCTTTTGAATTTTCTTGGAGTTATATTTGATATCTGTATAGGAATTTGAAATTTTGCTTTCCAAGTACGATATTTTAACTCCAATCCTGTCCTTTTTCTTGAGTACATCTCCTTCTCCTCGTTGCTTTTGCAGTCGGACGCATCTTTTCTTGGTTTTTTCCACTATCTGAAATTCGAAAAAAATCAAATGAAAGATCAAGTTTTGTAGAAATACGAAAAAAATCAAATGAAAGATCGAGTTTTGTAGAACACAATTAAGAAAAAAATTGTTGTGAAACTCATATCAAAGAAATACGAAAAAAAATCAAATGAAAGATCGAGTTTTGTAGCAAAGAAATTTCAGAAACTGAACGAAGAAAAGAACTTGTCAGATTGATATTGTACCTTCACCTCCTCATAGAGCTTCTTCTCCGCATCGTATAGGCTCGTAAGTGTTGACGAATGGCCCCCAAGCAACGTCTTTCCATGGTCATCAAGGCCACTATTGAAATAAGTGCATGTCGAAGAAGTTCTAGAGCTAGATCTCAAGAGAATTTTGGAGGAGAATCTAGATGAGGCGGAGTGGCTCACCGTCATTGAACGAACTAACTTTTCCGATTTTTCTGCACCCAAAATCATAGATGCATTGACGATACAGCTATATTAAAGAATAAATCAAATGTGGACATGAATTTCACACTAAAAAAAGTGTTACCATGCCCACGCACCATATATTAATTTGTCATGCATATTTTAGTTATAAATTAGGTTGAAAAATAAAACAGATGGGGGACAAAAGCACTAAAAATCATCATCACAAAACGTAATTCCAAGAAAAGACGAAAGAAAAACCAAAGAGTAAAGCTAGAGAGATCAAATTTTTTAAATCAAATTGCAAACTAAATGATATGTCACTAATAAGAAATAAGCACGTTAATCGATACTTAGTTAATAATCCAATCATCTACAACCACATCATTTAGTTTGTAAATTTGGTTTAAAAAATGTTGTCTCCCTAGTTACTCAAAACGAAAAGTTAAAAGAGAAAGATCTCACCTTTAATCTCCTTGGAAGCAGATTCTACTTGAACCATGTTGGTTTCAAGCATCCTGGAAACCTCCATACCAGAATAATAAACTCGAAAGAAATGCTTCTCAACAGCTTTTAGTGCTTCCAACAATTCTATCACTTTTCCTTCCGTTTGATTCATATTACTCGAATCTCCTTCCTTTTCACTACTTATCGCCATCTCTCCCCCCTCAGAATCTCTTTGTGTTGATGATGCCACCGAAGGAGCCACCATCACCCTACAAACTACTTCCCCATCAGTCGTCCCAGCGTCGTCCTCTTCTCCGTCAACCTTTACAGAGCTCGTCGAAATTTCGGAGTCCGAAAACGTGGAGCCAATGTTTTGAGTTTGAACGTTTGCTAACATCCCTACAGCATGCCCGACCGACAAGAGCGAATGGATGTACTTGCACTGCGCGTCTGCGAACGCAGACCTTCTCTCTAGGGCTAACTCTAGTTGGCGTTTTCTCTCTCTACAAAGCCGTACCTGATCGTTAACATCCACCACCCTGGACTTGGATTTGGAAGGATTACCACCCATGTCTTTAATTCCTCTGAATTTGCAGGGTTTTGGTTTGCTTAAGAAGATTTGTACGGACTTCTAAAGATTAGACTGTTGTGTTTTTTTTTTTTTTTTGGTTCATGGGTAGAGGTATATATACTGGTAGTAAAAACTCCTTGTTTGAAGGGGTAATTGTAAAAACTTGCTGTTTTTTAATCTAATTCCGAGGATAAAAGATGAATTTGAAAATTTTAATTAGGGAAGTTCTTCATATTCTTAGCCGTTTTCTTCATGTTTGAAACTGGGAAACCTCTTTTCATATTTAATTTTTTATTTAGGAAAAATAGCTTTCCTTGTTTTTTTCCTTCTTTTTCTAACTCTCCTTTCTTGAGCCTAAAGTTAGAACATTCTAAAAGTGGAACATTCAGTTATGTTGTCGAGTTTTATCATAACACGTAAAATTATAAACCATGTGACATGTTCTCGGTACATAAAAATTTATCATGGGTATAATCAACATATTAAGGGTACTACCCACTAGCACTACGATAGGTGATATTCTTCTCCATTTATAAATATTAACTCACACGCTGATTTTGATTTTTGCTTATATTCAGACCATTGTGCGAGTTAGCATAAATCCTTCCTCTCCCTCAGAGTAGGAGAATATTGTGTTAAGAAAAAAGGAAAACATATTAGGCCATTGGATAGGGTAGTGTGTCCGCCCCCTTGCAAGAGTTAAATTCCTTCCCCGTAGATTAAAACAGTTTAGAGCGAGGTCGTGGAGGAAATTTTAGCTAAATTTCCACCGAGTGTTGCAAGAACTTGAAGAAAATATCTCTTCGGGAGACAACTTCATTAACAAACAGCCTTCAAGGGGATCTTGAAAATCAACTGGCCTAAACGATAGCTGGAATACGATTTGTCTCAACACTGTGCCATCAGTTCATAGGTTTCACGTCGACATCTTGTGATGGTTTAAGAGCTCATGGGCACCATTCCGCTGCAAGCCGGTTTTTAGAGGCAAAATCTACTCAGGGACTCTTAACAGAACAGTAAGATCAGTATCCTCCACATTGCGAATTTGCTGATTTTGTGAGTGTCATACCAGGAGGTGTAGGGAAGTGCGTGCTCCTCCTCCCATTTAGGAGAGACTTGCATGTAGCAAGTTCATCGACTTTGTGACATCCTACGTCACTAATACATGGCCTTATGATAATCGACTAGGGTGCCACATGACGGTAAACTAGGTTCTAGTTGTAAGATAAGGTATATGCGGACGTCACCCCAACAAACCCCACGTTCAGGATTCAAGAAGCTCTACGTTGCACTCAGGCCATCCTGACAATTTCAGAATTCAAAGAAAATGTACAAGCAATCAACATGTAGAGATTTTCCATTTCCAAGGTTGTCCTACCAAGCATGATTTACATGTCCCAAAAACCCTGCAACGAAGTTCAAGAAAACCGAAAAAATTCTACCATACACCGAAGCATATTAGAAAATCTCGAAGGAGAGAAAAAATCATAGAGAAGATTGTCCACAAGAAAGAATCTTTATGCGCCTGTCACCTTTGAAGCTCTACATTTTTTTTATTCTTTCTTTTATACCTGTGCTCAATATCTCATAAACTAAAAATAAATTACATGTTCAAGTTAATTGTTACATTGTACAGTGAAAAAAAATTGACTGCACCTTCTCTTATCTCTCTCTCGGATGTACAAGCTGACGGTTCACCGGAGTTCTCAGAAGGATTCAGCAATAGATACAATATTACATGACCTGGCTCCCATCAGCTATCCATGGGTGTGGAACATGGGGCAAGAGTTTTTGATGGTATATGAACACCGGCTCCTCTCACGGACAAAGAAGGACCTCTCGTTGAGCTGGCTTTGCTCACAAGGTTCGAGTCAAGGAATAGGACTATCACTGTTATGTCGTCGTGGAAATGCCGGCGGACACCACGCTCTATTTTCTTCAAGTCTGAATATCTCATTTCTCTTTTCTTAGCTGCTTCCTGCAAGGCAGTTTTCAGAAGCCTCCGAGCACTTCCCTGAAAAACAAGAAGCAAGTAAAATCATGTTCCTTCTCTTTTAAACCACTCGCAATATGGTGTTTGACATACAATTCTACACTATTCTTTGGTGCTCCTGTATCAGTAGTCATAAACTCGATCCTATGGATACGAGCATTTATATCCTCCTCAAAGACCACTTGCCCATTTGGCACAGAGCCCAAATATAGCCCACCATGTAACTAGCTATTCCAACATGTTAAACGAAATAGAACTGTAGAGATGAGTAAATTACGCTGTGTGGGTGATTTTGAACAATATCAACTGCCTCCTGGTTGGTGAGGTGCTCCCACAGCCCATCAGATGCAAGTATGAGAAATTGATCGTGCGGTTGAAGTTCATGTACAGAGATCGATGGTTCAGAGCTTAAAATTGGCCTTTTAAAAGGTTCGCGCAAGCGAAACTTGGCATATAAAGGCTCCCTGTTAAATTCAGGCTTTTTAAGATATACATCACCAATAGATCTAGAAACCTGCAGAAGAAAAATATACTTACCCTTAATATAAATAACAACCAAATATTCAATTAAGAACCATAAATTTTGATTCATTAAACGCCAAAAATTAAGTTATCTTTGAAAAGAAAATGCCACTTATGATTATAACCACGAAACTCAGTAACACCCAGCATCTGCTCAGTCATTTCTACCATAGAAATAGGAAATTAGTAGCAGCTCTACTCCAACCCCAAAACAGAACAAAAATTTATCACTGCTTGAAATTTGAATCACTCTCAGGCCAGGTATTATCCCGCCATGAATCGTGTTGGATAATTACCAAATGACATCTTTATTCTTTAAATGAAAATAAACATTAGCCTACAAGCCTATGTAGTAGCTCAAAGGTCTTAAGTACCCAACATAAAACCAACATCTTAGTCCCCTAGTACGGTGGATATTAACAGAGTTTTGTTCTATTCAAAACCACAGTTCTCTATCCAATAGTCCAAACTGCCTTAGTCATTCCAATGTTCTTCTTCAACAATTAAATGAGTCAATACTGAATTAGCTTAGGAAATAGGAAAGAAAGCACTTTACCAGGAATCATAGAATATGGCATGAATAATTTGAGAAACTGACGCAATCAAGTTACCTGTATCAAGCCCTTCACGCGCCATACATTATGCTTTAAAACTACAATATGTGAGTCATCAGGGTGCAAAGAATGCATCTCCCGTCTGACAGATTCTATGGCCACATTGTGCTCTGATGACAACTGGATGGCACGAACCTCCCCAGTAGCCTTCATAACTCTCCCCAGAACAGCACGGGAATCACCAACGTTGGCAATGTAAAGGGTGCCACCACAAATCACACCAGCAAGGCAACAAGATCCAACAGCTGCAATTTGGGGTTTCATAGGCCATTGTTTGGTAACAACAGAGAGGAACCCCTCTTCTGTTGCTTGATATGCTTTCCGTATCACGTCTACTGACATGGACTGTTGCTCTGAAGTGAACCCTGAATATAAAAAAGATAAACAGAATTATCACCAATGACTTCATTTCAATCCTAAGAAATCATCAATGAGAAATAGATAATACATATCCCCTGAACTGTAGTAAGGAGCTTCATTTAATTCTGGGATAATGAATCCTATTCCTAACATGGACTAGTTTGAGCAAATCAAATTTATTTCCCCCACAAACACTTTTACGCTAAAAAGTTCATTTGGCACTGGGATGATGTAGTTTACTTTTTAGATGCTGGAATAGGTGATCATTGATGTAACGTGAGGTCTCAGGACCGCCATGACCGTCATATATTCCGAAAAAGGTGCCATACGGGCCAGACTCGAGCGAGCTCAGGGGACCAGACTCAACCTGGCTTTGATCCTCAAGCAAATTGTTGGCCTGCACAACAGCCATTGAAAATTCACCATTCATGTGCTGCCCAATGTCTTTGTACCAAAGTAGCCCGTCTTGTCTGCCAGCTGCATCCGAACCTGCGTGTCCATACTGGTCCGAGGAAGGCAGCCAACAGGCCCTCAGAAAGTTCATCAACCTTGATAACATCCCTCATTTCACCTGGGCCAGCCTCGAATGCTTCCACATCCAAAATGGATGCAATACCTTTCACAACCAAAGACCCCACCACACCGGCTTCCTCTCCTAAAGACCAAACAATCGACTATAAAACCCGAAACCAATCAATTAAAACAGGAATATAAAAACCCAGTTAATCAAAATTCACCACACACTTAACCAAAGGATCAGACTTTACAACGCAAATTTTGGTTAACAGGCTCATTGAATAAATGATAAAACAAAATCAGGTCTGAAATATCAACCCCATCTGCATTTCTGCTATAAATACTAGCTTGAAAACAAAGAAAGCAACACAACCAACATACAGTTTTGGGAAAACAGTGACAGTCACAGCTACCACTACTCTACACACCAAACTTCCACCACACAATTATCTCGACACACGCAAAGCAACTTTACCCTTCCCCACTAACAAATTACCAAACTTTCTGATTAACCAACAACAAATTACTAAACTTTTTGATTACCCAATGGCAAAAACAACATAGCAGAGAGTAAAAACCAAGAAAAATCAACTCACAGTGCAAAATTAGGCAGTTTTGGTGTCAGCTACTGAACCTTGACTGGTGAAAACGACGGAGATCTAAAAGAAACAGAGCAATACATGTGGGTTTATACGCGTTAGATCTGCAGATCCATCAAACTTGAAAACTGTGGGCAAAAGGATTTTTGGATAGGGGTCTCTTTTGTTGGTGTTTGAAGCAAATTTCTCTAGTCTTTTGGGGTTTTTCTGATTTGGGATTTTTCCTGTGGGTGACGCAGAAGGGTGTAGGAGGAGGAGGAGGAGGAGGAGGAAGATAGAGATTGATTTTACTTGACAGGGGAGGAGCTTTCAATCAGTGTGATTGAACGAACTGAACCACCTTTTTATTTATTTATGATTTTTTCTCAGCACACAAAACCCCCACTGAAAGAAAAG